AAGGGTAGTTAAATAGAATCCCCTAGAATTTTGCTAGAATATTGTATGGTATTTTAGTATTTTTCATTGATTTTCTCTTAAATAGCTTTTAAAATAGGATTAATTTTGTGCATGATTTTGTGGAATTTGTTTTAGGACCTTCCTTTAATATTTTTAACTCATTCTTTTTTGTGTAATTAGATATTGAATCATAGTTCCCCATAGGATTTAATTCTTGATTTTTAGATTAGAATTTGATTAGTTTAATTAGGTTAGCATTAGGGTATCCTAATTAGGGTTTAGGTTGTGCATAGGTAAGGAGATTCATTTTCTTTAAATAGTTTTGCCTTGATTTTTGGGTAGGGGCATATGTGGATGTTATGGGTAGATGTTGTAGACCCTTGTGAATAATTGTTGGATTTTTCCCCCTTTGTTTAGTATTTTTAGGTATTTTCTGAAGTTGCCTGATGATTTTGTCTGTTCTGTGGTTATCTGTTCATCTCTGGGGTTTGTTTTGGGGAATTTGTTGTGGGGCTTGTGTTGTCTTGAAGACCTTGTTGGAGAGCATCATGAAGAGAAGATTGTAGATCAAGACTCAGAGACCCAGAGCTTGGCTTTTTCCCTGTCTGTGAGGTTTGAGATCCTGAAGTTTGAAGGAAGTTCATGGTACTTTCCTGAGGAAGGCACTGTGAATGACTTTCATTCTTTTTTCTCACCTCTTTCTTAAGTATCCAATGATGTTGGAGCCAACTTGTGAGTTTAATTTCTCCTGAGGAGGAATGTAAACTGATCACATGTTGTTGAGCCACATGGGATACAACTCCTAAGTGGAAGCCTCCTAGTACTTTCCTGAGGAAGGTCCTATGGGTCTATTCACTTAGTTCCATTAGTTTATCTAGGATTTCTCAAGTATCCAATGATGTCGGAGCCAACTTGTGAGTTTAATTTCTCCTGAGGAGGAATGTAAACTGATCACATGTTGTTGAGCCACATGGGATACAACTCCTAAGTGGAAGCCTCCTAGTACTTTCCTGAGGAAGGTCCTATGGGTCTATTCACTTAGTTCCACTAGTTCAGATAGGATTTCCTAAATATCCAGTGATGTTAGAGCCTGCTTGTGAGTTTAGTTTCTCCTGAGGAGAAATGTAAATTGATCACAGTGGTTGAGCCACGTAGGATATGACTCCTGAGTATACACCTCCTAGTGCTTTCCTGAGGAAGACACTATGAGTCTGCTTACTTAGCTCCCTTTCTTTGGTAAGCTTGTTTGAAGCTTGAAGACTGGGATTGATTTCTTTTGGTTAGGTTTTGCTTTAGGGCTTTGCTTAGATTTGATCAGGATCTTGTGTTAGGGCTAGGATTAGAGAGTAGATGATTCTTTCTCGAGCATGTGTTTTGTTTGCCTGATGGCATTTCATTTCTTTTATCTGTTCATTGCTTGATAGCATGTGGTTTATTTTCAGTATGATTACTGTTATTTCATGACTGGCTTGAGGTCGAGACGAGCTTGTGGAGGCTGAAGCCCCACACACATTTCCTCCCTCACTTGCATTGCATGCATTTTACTGTTAAAGCTGATGCTTTTGTCTGTTTTGGTGTATCATTGACATGATCCCTTAGGACTCTCATTTCTTCTGATGAGGATTTGATGATAGACTTTTAGGTTGAAACCTATGCATGACAACATCTAGGAGTTCCCTGTTCGAACCTCAACCATAGGATGAATCCATGGCATGACAACAGTAGGACTTGATAGTCTCCCTCCTAGTTGGGCCTGTTCTCTTCTCATCTCGAAGCAGTTTAAGATACAGTAATCAGGAATGATTTCTTTCGTACGTTACGAGCCTTAAGCTATCTGAGGATGGATGTTTAGTGTGGTACCCTTTGGGTGACATGCGACGCATTCACTCTCAGGTCATAGTCTCTAGTGCGGTTGAAATCGCAAACATAATAAAAAACACTTCTCTTAGGAGATAACCCGTAGTTTCCCGAACTACGTTTGCTCTGATCTTTCATACCAGATGAAAGTACGTAGGCATAGGATGCGACGTCCTAGCGAGCAACCTTCCCCCGTAATCCCCCGTAGTTAGCCGAACTACGTTGACTCTGATTTCTCGGTCCAGACGGGAATACGTAGGCTTAAAGCGCGACGCTTTGCCGAGTCATTTTTCTTTTCTTTTTCAGCCAGCCTTGATAGGTAGATAGATTATAACCAACCCGTCCAAGTAAACAAACAAGCGAGGATCCCGTCGAGTACGACGGACGTGAGGGGTGCTAATACCTTCCCCTTGCGTAACCGACTCCCGAACCCAGACAATGGTTGCGACGACCTTGTCTTACCCTTTTTCGTCAGGTTTTTCCGATCGTTTCCTTTCCCGCTCTGAGGGATAAATAACGAAAGGTGGCGACTCTTCTGTCATGCCAGCACCTTATTTTCGCGCAAGCGACAATATGTATATGAAATAATATTATTATTGATTTCTGCCTTTCATTTCATGTACTATTATACCATTATTATTTGATCATGATTCTCACCCCTTTGTTGTTGTTGTTGTGGTCTGTGCTTCTTCGGAAGTACAGACAATCCAGGTGTTTAGCTAGCTTGGATTGTGATGTCTCTGTAAGACTGCTCTGATACGTAACACCGGAGCCTTTTTGGGAGTTTTATTGCTTTATGTTGATTTTGTGTGCCCCTGTGGCGTATCCTGTTTGATGGTGATTGTAGATGATGCTATATGTATTTTGGGCAGATGGTCATTGTTGTATATGTATATGACGAGGATGATGGATATGGATAATATATATATATATATATATATATATATATATATATATATATATATATATATATATATATATATATATATATATATATATATATATATATATATATATATATATATATATATATATATATATATATATATATATATATATATATATATATATATATATATATATATATATATATATATATATATATATATATATATATATATATATATATATATATATATATATATATATATATATGATGTTTTGTGATTTATGACAGACTATGTATACATTTTCCGCTGCAGTGTTATTGAGAAATTAATTTGGAAAAATGTTTTGTGGAATTTTAGTGTGAATTGTGGCATCCTGTTGTGGGAGATACTCTGATGTGTGCTTATTTAACTGTTTTATTTTATTTTGGGAAACGGGGTGTTACATCTTCCATTTGAAGCAACTCATAGGTTCTCTTGTGAGTTTGTAACTTCACCTCTTTCACCTTCTCTGCGCCTCCAAACGACTTTTCAAGAATCTCCCATGCTTCTTTTGTTGAATCAACATCACTAACCTTTTCAAAGTTATCAGGATCAACACACTGATGAATTATAAAAAGTGCTTCATAATCCTTCTTCTTCAATTCTTTGTGCGCAGTCTTTTCTGCCTCCGTTGCGTTCTCCCCAAGCGATGTTACTCCGTCCTTCACAAGATCCCAAAGATCTTGATAACAGAAATCACCTTAATCTGCTTACACCAATTCTCATAATTGTCTTTCTTGAGAATTGGCAGGGTCGCCTGAAAGTTATCGTTCGGATAGTTCATCGCCATCACTATCTTCCTTCCTTGAATCTCTCAACCGGAGCTCTAGATACCAGATGTTGGAAATTTACCTCACACCCTATGAAGAATTCTCTTCAATCTTGATCTCAAGATTGATGAACAAACCCACAATATGATAGTAATGGTAATAACAAGTAATTATCAAGAATAAAAAAAAAGAATAACAAGAAAGAGAAGAATGAGAGAAGAAATATTTGGAGAGAATGTGTTACCCACAAACTGTGAGATTTCTTATTGCTTATAGAACTTTCACTTGCTAAACACTGCAACTGTGAAATCTATTCTATGTTGTGTTTGAATACAAAGCAAGACACCCTATTTATAGTTTTAGGTTTACAAAAGCCCAAAACATAAAAGGTCCAAAATATTCAAATCAAATCTAATAATATCAAATCAAATCAAAACAATGAATTACATTTAACAATAACCTTATGAATAGTTGAGGTATTCTTAATAACCTTATATTCAAATGGAGGGTTCATGTTGTTAAAGTAAGCAAATGCAAAATGAAAAATTTGATTCATTTTTGTGTATAGATGTAAGCTGGATTTTCTAAGATCACAAGATGTTATTTTATAAGTTTCAAACCATTTTCAATCACACAAAAGTGTCAAGCGCAATCTCAACCATCCATTTAAACAACTTAAATGAAAAGATAAAAAAAAATCAACCTACCATATTTTCATGCGCGCATAAAAATATGGTATCTCAAATATTATATAAATCCGGTGGCCGTGAAAATACTCATCAAATTTTAGGGTGTGCAACTATGGAGTGCCAAGTAAATTCCTTAAAGTATTATTACACATACAATCTATTTTCCATAAGAATTAGTATTGTTCCCTTGCCTAACCCTTTCTTAAACTACTTTCTTTTCTCAAGTGTTAAAGTGTTTTGCAGGTATTTTTCCTTATAGTCAACTATTATTAAATACTAATTAATTAATAAATAGGCTTTGGACTTTGTTCAATTAGCATTAATTATAACTAATTTCTATTTCTACTTCTATTATCAATACAAATAAGGTGTAACCTGTCTAAACAGAGACATTACACAAAATTACAAATTCTACATTTAAAAAATCAATTTACAACACATAAAATTTGGACCCCTCATCTGTATACAAAATGTAGCTTCAACAGCTTAGTTCCCTCATCAATATGCTACATATTTCACAAGAAAAGTTTAACTCTCTTCCAATGACACTGAATTCTGCAACCTTCAGTTGAAGGTGGACATGATATGACTACTATGTTAAACTAAATCCTATTTCTTCTTCAACAAGTTACCAACAATTCAATCAGTTCACTAACCAAATCAATCTGGCTTTAGCTATAAAAAGGTTAAAGATCGCTGACCATTCAACTACTCAAGCTCTGATATCGTCGGTTTCATGTGGAAACCCAAAATACTCAACATTGAAGGCTTTTCATTATGCTGACCAGCGCATTGATTACAGTTTCGGTATTTGCATACGACCCGTCAAGGTTAATTGCGTGATACTCCAACCCTTTCCACTTTGCAATGTACGCAAAATGTGGACGTCTGAACTGGCTGCTAATGATCTCTAGAATCACAGTTTTAGGCAGTGCAGATACTATGTGAGTAAGACCAGCACCATGAGCACCAATGATCACTGATGCATCTTGAATAGCTTGTACCTGCTCTTTCATAGACATGTGTGCGAACAATCCGTTGACAAGGTTGATTTTACATCCTTTGTAATTAGACGCCCAGCTCTTCAAGGATTCGAACACCTCTGCCTCGTTCGTTAGTCTTGATTCAACTTTACCACCGTGACGTGGATGAGCTAAATAATCTTCGCGGCGAACAAAGAGGACATTATGTCCTCCAGAGATTGGTTTTCTGACATGGTTTAAGTTTAAAGGTAATCCAAATGCTGCTCTTATCATTTCTCCAAACTCGGAAAGACGTGCGGTTTTTTGGTCATCAGGCTTTTGCCGCAGTTCTTGTGCGGAAGCTCCATCGCAAAATATATCTTCTGTTAGCCCTTTAAATAGGGCAGTCTCGTATCCCAAAGGCGAGAGAATAGCATGGCGAAAACAAACTGTTCCGCTGAAGTTTTTAGCATATCTGACGCTCGAGAATAACGCTTTCCATGTCTCTTCAAGTTGAGCCTGAAATTTATTGCAAGTAACTAATAAAATTAACAAAGATTTCAAATTCTGCAAAGGCAACATAAAAGCAACCTACAAATTAAAAGCATAAAAGTGATGAATGCATTTCAATTTTTATGTTTTCATAATGAGAAAGCAAGCAAGAAAATTCATCAATCATCAGAAAGCTAAAATCAGGTGAAGCAGATTTACAAAACTGATCAAGCATACCATACAGTGTCCATCAACAAAGATCAAATGAGGTCGATTAGGTAAGCCAGTAACTCTAGAAGAAACATATGCACTGTACCAGTCTGTAACAGTGTGAAAAAGATTTGCATATTCAAAGCGTGTCACCAGAAGTGTCGGTTCTTCGATCCACTACAAATAGAAAACCTAATGTCAAAGGCACATAAAAACAGAAGTTGTACATAAAGCAATATTACAGTAAATTATATCTTGCAGTTAAACCATAGTTATTTTAAGGAAAATGTTATAGTGTTAACGCTATTTTAAGAAACTAAAAGAGTACATATTTATAGAAAACTATGTATTCAGTGTATTGCAAATTGCAATACTTAACTTTTTTTAACAAATTATTTTTTTAATTATAATCCTTAAAGAATGTTCTTAAGGCACACACTAACAATACCCATAGTTTGAGAGAAATCTACAAAAAAAATCGAGCTATACCGCACTAAATGAGTCGAACTATCCAACTCATCAATCTCGATATCTTTCTTATTAGTTTTTTTAATAGTTTTTCTAGATACCACTAGCACTTCGAGTACTCACCATCTGATCTACCCGCTTTACTACGGAATACATGGGTCTTCTCTCGACATGCTCAAACGACTTAAGTCTAGTTTCCACCATCTTTTCTATTATAGTTTATAGGTGTTACCCCAACACTTGCCCTAATATTATCATTTCTAATCATATATCATCTAGTCTTACCACACAACATCCTCATCTCGGCTACATATAGTTTATTTTAGTGTTGGTTCTTTACAACTGTCCGATAAAAAATTTCATTCAGTTTGAGCATGAAAATTCCAGTGTTTGGCCTATCACATAAGACACCTGAGGTTCTCTTCAAATTCAACAGCCCAGCTTAAATTCCATGGTTTATGTCTTCTTCTATTTCTCCATTGTTTTGTATTATGAATTCAAGTATTTAAACCGGGTTATTTATGGTCCAATATGGCCTTCAATTTTCACATCTAAGAAGCTAACAGATGATTGAATTCGTAATGTTTAGTAAAATTAATGTTTGAACTAACTAATAAATATAGAATGACATTAAAAAAATAAATGTTATAAAAAGTTGTAAGTTACTAAAAATAAACTATAAACTTGTGAAAAAATAAATATCACCAAACAAAACATTTTTAAGCCTATGAACTTGCAACCTATAAACTATAAGCTTAAAATAACACATTACCAAAAAAAGCCTAAAGTTTTGTTTAACAAAAAGTAGCAAGTAACTTATAAGCTAACTAATGGTTGATAACATATAAGCTGCTGATCTTTAGCAACACGGATAACATATACGTGAGTATAAGAGTTGGAATCATGGTGATAGCATCCAACCTAATAATATCGGCTTCTATCAGGGTTGGAATTCTAGTGATAACATCCAACCTAGTAATAATGGCTTCGGCCAGGGTTGGAATCCTGGTGATATCATCCAATCTAATAATATCGGCTTCGGCCAGTTGAACTAGTTGAACTAGGATTTACGTTTTGGTAAATAGTTATTGAAGGTGGAGCATTTAATGTAACAGTGAAATTTCTAAACTTAAAATCCTAACCAAAACTATAACCATCAAACTAACCAAAATCAAACAAAAATCAACAAATAATCAAGAATTAATCTTCTTAAACCTCACCTGATCACAAGCAAACTCTTTCCTTCCAACAACCCGAATCTTGCTAATCAAATCCCGCATAGTATGTCTCATAATCTCCCCTCTCGGAACATACTGATCCAAGAACTCCCTATCAACAACCAATTTCCCCTCATCTCCAAACCCTTGACCACCATCAACCTCAAACGCGCCGTTTCGAAACACCGGTAACTCTTCGTCTTCACTTCTTCCAATAACATCAACCAAGCTCTCCCCACCCTTCGCCATTTCAATCTTCTCCACCACCATCCTCACCCTCCCACCTTCACAAACCGAGCTCCTCAAACTCTCACTGTACCAACAGCTAAACCACCCACCTTTGTCGCCGGAAAAAACCTCAAGACGGCGCGTGAACCCATTTCCAAAATAGCCTTCGCAGGAGCGTGGAGGAACAAAGGTTGAATCTTTAGACCATGGTAAGTAAGAGGGAAGAATTGGCCATGGTTTTGAGAAATAGGTTTGTTGTATCTCTATAAAGGGTCGTTTAAAAGGTGACTTTTTTGGGAAAGTGTTGGGGATAGGATTTGAAGAGACTAGAGAAGAGCTATGGTGGATGAAGTAGAGACAGAGATAGAAGGAGTTGAAGACGACGAGGAACAGTAGGATCCGAATCAGAACCCTTTTGTTCATTGCTTCTCTCTCTTCTTTCTCTCTCTCTCTCTCTCTGTTTCTGTGTGTGATGAGTGTTGTTGACAGAGTCGTAAGGTATGAAGTGGTAAAGAAGAATGTTTATGAAGTCTTTATTACATTTTGGAGTATAATAAATATGGTTAGATTAGTTTTAAGTAAACAAAATCTATATTTTCAAATAGATTTCTCTAATTTATTTTTTAATAATAAATGTTTATATTATGAGAATTTATTGGAGAATTGAATGTTAACAAAATTAAAATATAAAAATAAATTAATACAATGAGTTTAATTTTAATATTATTTTTTTACATCATTAACACTAATTCAGATGGCAAAACCGATCGTCCATCCCATCTCATCTGTCTCATTTAAGTTCGTCAAAAATAAAAAGGTGTGACAAATCCTTCAAGTGAAATTGACTACTTGCAACAAATTACGAATATTGTTGTGTTTGATGATGTTTATAATGTACATTCTTTCAAATGATATTGAATTTGTAATTGATCATAAAAATCAAAGTAAGATATTGATAACAACAAGCAATGTAGATGTTGAGGTTAGGCATGGCAAAAAAACCCAGACCCGTCGGGGCCCGCCCGGACCCGCCCCGAAATTAGCGGGGAAAACCCGGTTTGAGTGGGTACGGGTGCGGGTGCGGGGGAAATCCGATTTTTAATTACGGGTGCGGGTACGGGTGCGGGTAGACACTAAGACCCGCCCGCACCCGGCCCCGCCCCGCCCCCGAATAATTTATTTTAATTTAATTTTCTTATTTTACTTATTTTAATATTTATTTATTAATTATATTTTTAACTAAATTATTAATACATTTATTGCAATTAAAATAAATAAATTAATCAAGTTAATATTCATTTACTAATTAAAATTTTAATTAAATAAATAATTAATTTATTAAAATAATCAATTTTTTAATTAAGTTATTAATTTTTATTGTAATTAAAAATAAAATTTTTTTTCCGGGTGGGGGCGGGGCGGGTGCGGGTGCACCCGTTCTCTACTGGGGGCGGGTCTGGGTGGTAAATTTTTACCCCCGGTCGGGTTTGGGGGCGGGGGCGGGTGTGTTACATGAAAGCGGGTGCGGGTGCGGGTATAGTAAAACCCGCCCCCGACCCGCCCCGTTGCCATCCCTAGTTGAGGTGTCTTGTAAAAAATCTTCTTTCATTGAAGTGCTTGAGTTGCAACCTTTAACTCAAGAACAAATTTCAAAGTAAAAGAATTTCACAAATACAATGACAGAACCAAAAGTAAAAGAAAAATACATCTGATGCTATTAGAACCTACTTCTTTATCAAAGAAAAGAAAAATGGCAAGTCACTAATGGCACTAGCAACTTTTGGACTCATACAAAAGAAAAAGACAAAACAAGTTGCATCGCAGTTAGCATCTACAACTTTTATTTCTATAAATAAAAACATAAAGTTCAATGCTACAATACAAATTATAAAGCTGTTCTAAAAAAACAAAAAAGCCATGTTTAAAAAAGCTTCATGAGGAAGAAAATGAGGTGTAGCAAACATGACATATATTACTTTTACTTTTTTATCTGTGCAATGCACCAGTTGAATGTGGAAATGAGATAAGTCTTTAAAAAGTGAAAAAGTAACATGTCCCTTTAAAAAGAAGAGATTCACTTCAACTTTGCGTTGCATGTAAGCAAAGTATATATATATTTCAGTTATTCCCTTCAACAACGACGAAAAAAATCCGATTCTTATATATCAGGAAGAGCCAAATGAGTGAGATTGTGCATGTTTTTCTTAACTTTGCAGGTTCTTACTATCCATTTGAATCTGTTTTCAGCTTCCAAGATCAAAACAAAGCTTTGCAATAGAAATGGCATCAGGAGAATCAAGTGGACGGACCGATTTCGATCACGTCAAGGCTGCTGTCACCGAGTTTGGTATGATCCTTATTTTTCTTCAGACTCAAGTTATATTTTCCTTCTTCCATACAAACTCATTTTCTCGCTATTATTGTCAAAAGCTAGAGGATTTAACCACACTTACTACCAGCCGCTGCACTTGGCGATACTAAACGGAGATTGGAAATCTACAAAGGCTTTCATTGATAATGATCCAACCGCATTGACAGCGAAAGTTACCATACTTGGCAGGAATGCACTTCATGTTGCGGCTGTGGGAGCTCAATGGAAACTTGTTGAGAAATTAGTCCAACATATGCCTGCAAATACGGTTGCAGAACTGGATTTAATGGGCTGTACTTCTCTTCACTATGTCGCAATGGGCGAAAGCGTGAACGCTGCCAAGGCATTGGTGGCTAAAAATCCTTCTGTTACACAAGTGACTGATTATAAAGGATTCACACCACTGATCTATAGTATCACATCTACCGATTCTAAAGAGATGGTTTGGTATCTTGTTTTGAATACTACAGACGAAAGGCCTGGATGCCCTTTCTCGGGTCCCTCTTCTAGTCATCTTGTTGCTTTGCTTACGGCCGCCGGATTTCATGGTAATTATTATGCTTTAATAACAAAGCATATAAAACACTATGTTACTCATGTTTATATCCTCTTTGAATCTTCCATGTGTAGATATCACAATGTATCTTCTGCAGCACTATCCTAACTTGGCCACTATTTCTGATTCAAATGGAAGCATTATACTTAATGTTCTGTCAAAATTGCCATCACACTTTCAAAGTGGACACAAGCTTGGGTTTTGGAAAAGATGCATTTACCACTGTAAGTACTTTCTTTAAGCATAATTATTATGTTATAATGCTTGATTGAAAATTAGCATTTCTTATACTATATCAGGTGTTCCTGTGGAAGTTGAATCTGGAAATACAATATGGAATGCACTTCAAATTCTTGGTATGTTTTATGTGAATCATTATCTATAATACACTGACGCTAACACGCAAACACGACACTGACATGTAGACTATGATGAAAAATGGAAGTGATAGAATGTAGCCACATGTGTCTATGTCGGACACTAGACACTCGGTGCTACATAGATAATTTACTTAACTTATGTTTCTTATTTTCTTTTTTTGCAGTTCCTAGCATAAAACTAATTAGAGATACAAAACTGAGAGATGAATATGCTGTGAGATTGGTAGAATTTGTTTCCTCACAAGCTTCAGCCATGAATGACAATCAATTCTGGCAATCTTTTGTGAGTCCGGACATTATTTTCAGTGCGACATCATCTGGCATAGTTGAACTTTTAACGGTTTGTTTTCGGTTTTTTCCTGATTTGGTTTGGACTCACATTCCAAATGAAGGATATGTGGCTCAAATCGCTATCAAGAATAGGCAAGAAAAAGTTTTTAGTCTTCTAAGTAAGATGCCAATAATTTGCAAGCTTTTAGTGTTGGCATTAGATGAATCACAGAACACTACATCACATATCGCAGCAAGGTTTGCTTTTCAAGCAAAATCAATTCCAGGCGCAGCTTTTCAAATGCAAAGAGAGTTGCAGTGGTTTAAGGTTTGTTAAGTTTATTCTAATCACATAAATACTACTTTCACACGGTGGTTCTATTTATAAGAGAAAGTTTACTTTTTAGATTCATTAAATAGTTAATGTATCTAGTTTTATAAATTGATCAGATACATTGATTATTTAATAATTTAAAAAGTAAGCTTTCTATTTCTCTTATAAATAGGACCGGAGGCAGTATAAGAGAAATAACTAACTTGACCTGTAAAAACGATTTAACATGAAAAATGATAAAGTACAAAAATCTATGAAGTTACTGATAACATAGTTATATCAACAGGAAGTAGAGAAATTGGATCACCCTCTCCATAAAGAAGTTAAAAACCAAGATGGTAAAACAGCTTGGCAAGTGTTCAAGCAAGAGCATAAACCATTGCTTGAAGAAGGGAAGAATTGGATAAAGGATACATCAAACTCTTGTATGTTAGTAGCAACTCTTATTGCGACAATCGCTTTCGCGGCTGCAATAACTGTACCTGGAGGTAACAACCAGGACAAAGGAATACCAATATTCTTGAAAGATAACACATTCATGGTATTTGTTGTGTCAGATGCATTAGCCTTGTTTTCTTCAATGGCTTCTCTTCTGGTGTTTTTAGCAATCCTAAATGCACGATTCGCGGAAGAAGATTTTTTCGTGGCGTTACCGGAGAGATTAATATTAGGTTTGGCTTCTTTGTTCATTGCTGTAGTGACTACAATGGTAGCATTTGGTGCAGCTTTGTCTATGCTGGTGAAGGAGAGAGTTAAATGGGCTCCAATTCCTATTGCTCTTTTGGCTTGTGTGCCAATTGCTCTATTTACAAAGCTTCAACTTTCTTTGTTCATAGAAATGATGAAATCAACTTATGGATCTCATTTCTCATATATAAAAAAATGAAGGTTGATATTGATTACGATAGGATTAGTTAATATCCCTTAGGATTATGTTAGGACTACATTAATATTTGTCTAAACCTTTTGATTATTAAGTGAGAAATATTCATATTCATGTTGACAACCTGATTCCAACTTGTTTTTTATTTTAGCATAGTGAAATTATTACTTGGAGAAACCTTTTATCCCCTCATGTTTTATTAACAAATTGTTGTTCTGCTTTGGCTTTATTAGATATGTAAATATAGAAAGATTATTATTAGTATTGATTGTAAATGATTATTAGAATCATAACCACATAATTGTATTGTATATATAAATGACTAACTGATAAATGAAAAGGTACGACCTAAACTCTCTTACATGGTATCACGCTTGGTTTGTTTCCAAAACCTAAAACCAGCCGTCAACCTTCTTTCTTCCTATCTTTCATTTTTTTTCTCTTTAACCACCCCCAAAACAGCCATGACTACCACTACTAATTCCTCCAACAACAATTCTTCTTCACACTCCACCGGTCATACCGACCCTCCTCCTCCACCTCTCACTCCTATGACGACTCACCCTGCTCTCATTGTCCCAAATATTACTAATTTCATTAAGATTACTCTGAGCATTGAAAAGGGCATGTATAACACGTGGTCAGAACTTTTCAAAATTCATGCTCGAGTTTTTCAAGTGATTGACCATATCATTTCCTCTGAACCAGCTGCAGATCCCTCTCTCAAAACTTCCGATCCACATTTACGACTTCGTCTCGACACCGTTATTTTATAGTGGATATATGGAACAATCTCCGATGATCTTCTCAACACTATCATCGAACATAACTCCATCGCTGAAATCGCGTGGAATCGCTTATTCGACATCTTTTATGATAACAAGAATTCTATGGCTATCTACCTAGAGCAAGAGTTTTCGCGAACTCATATGGAGCAATTCTCTTATGTTTCCTCCTACTGTCAGCATCTCAGGTCTCTCTCTGATCAACTAGCTAATGTTGGTTCCCCTGTATCAAATGAACGTTTAGTTCTTCAACTCATTTCAGGACTAATTGATGCATATGCTACTGTGGGATCCCAAATTCGTCATGCTGATTCACTTCCTCGATTTTATAAAGCTCGTTCCATGATCATTTTGGAAGAAACAACACTGCAGAAAAAGGTGTCAAGCTCAGTCGAAAATTCATCTTTCATGACGTCTCACAATGACGCACCAATTGATTCATCGACATCCCGTCCTAACCGTAGCAACAACGGCGACCAAAATCATGGTGGTCGAAGCAATGGCAGAGGACAGCGTGGACGAAGCCGAGGGCGAAACAATGGACATGGCAGAGCTCGTGCTCCAAAACAACAATGGACTTATTGTTAAAAACAGTGGTAAAGTGTCGGGTTTTTGTTATCGTCTCCACAGGGAATATGAGATATTGCAGTCGTTCGACAGTTGATAAATTCGTAACTTTATAGTAACAAAAGGGGGTTTGGTTTTAAGTCACGGTAGCTTTGCATAAAAGTAAGAAATGCGGTAAAATATTGGTTTTACGATTTAAATAAAGATTGTCAAAGTTAGGGTTTGGTAATCACTTTGCATGTATATGTTCGATCAACAATGCATAAACTCTTTTTTATGATAAACACATTCACAATATCCTCCCAATATGATTATCTCTAACTCACATTGTGATATTTCCCATTTTGATCCATTGTTGATTTCTCACACAATCTATCAAAGTGACAACATTTAGGTTTAACATTTTAGTGAACAACAACATTCAAGACTATTTCTAGCTGAAGAAAGGAGATGGATGAAAACCTAGGTCAAGAGTTGGAAAATATCTTTCAATCAAGAACCAACACAAAAGGTTATAAATAAAACAAGGTTTTCACCATACATTCATCATCAAAGAGTTTTACAAATGAAGATCATCCATATACATACTAAGCTTAATGATCACCTACATCTAACCTTGACAAAATAAAGAACTTAGCCACTCATTTCCATAGTAGCTTGCAAAAGAAGTTTTGGAAGAAGGTTGATGAACATATGGGTCGAATGATCCAACTTGGATGAGAATCCACCTTCTTTTTGTTGGAATATGTTAAGAGATGAAGAAATGAGAGCCAAAAAGATTCTAGGGCACAAAATCTCCTCTCTAGCAAAAACTATGTAAAACAACTAAAAACAACATATGTTAAAAAAGTAGCCCCTGCTACTTATAGAAAGTGGAAAATTTGGTACGTTCGCTACCTGCTCGCTAGGCGAGCTGCTAGCGTACGTTCGCTACCTGCTCGCTAGGCGAGCTGCTAGCGTACGTTCGCTACCTGCTCGCTAGGCAAGCTGCTAGCGAACGCTCGCTACAGCCCCGCCTAGCGAACATGCTAGCGTGGACTGCAGATTTTCTTCTGTTTTGCTTCGCTATGTCTTCGCTGCAGCGAACCAGCCAGCGAAGGGTGCTTGATTGATTCTGGAGCTGCTCGCTGGGAGCTCGCCTAGCGAGTCTTTCGCCAAATGCTCGCTACCAGCGAATGATGTCAAGAATGCTTCTGCCCAAGTCTGGGAGTGTTCGCTAACAGCTCGCTAGGCGAGGCTGTAGCGAACACTCGCTACTCACTCATCAGGTGTTCGCCTAGCGAACTAGCCTTTGCTCGATTCCTTTGACAACTTTCTTGTGTATTCAAATTATATTCTTTCAAGCTCAAATTCTTCACAATAGCACACAAATCAAAGGGACCAAGAGCATTTAACACAATGATGCATAATCAACAAATGCGAGGCGGTTTAATACATTTTTAGGACAAAACAGAGCGAATGATGCCCACATTTGATAGCTCAAATAAGCACAATTGGGCATCTAACAACTCTCCCCAACTAGAATATTGCTTGCCCTCAAGCAAAGTATGCCTCTTGAAGATCTAGAGGATTTGCTTAAAGAGAAAGGATTTTCCGAACTCGGATCAAATGGCTCAAACACAAGCGACTCAACCAAACATGCGTTTCCAACGGTTAGAACAACACAATGCACAAGAACTAAAACCTTAAAGAAATACAAAACATTTATCAATTCACAACAATGATATCTTGAATGGATCACCCTATCTCTCCTCTTCGAATAAGGATTGAAGAAATATCGCACATGCAAGCGCGGAGACAATTTCACTCTCCAATAAACAATGCAAAAATCAATTCAATTCATATAATGTCTAGCAATTATAAATGAAAATGTGGAAGTACGAAGATCACTAAGGTCTTTTCCGGTTGTAGCTTGGTCGGGTTTACAAACAAGGGACATATCTAAAACCATTGAAACGAATTTGCCGATGCAAAAGAGACATTCACGTGTACAACAATTCACACATTCAAACTTCGTTCAATCTTGATACTCATTTGAAACCTTCACAACTCTTGTTCCACAACTCAATTTTTCAATATTTTTCTTCCAAGCAAGCATTCATGATTATTCTTTTCTTCTGATCATTTTCTTTCTACACCATGTTCATAAAACAAGTATAGATTTTTTTTTTTACAATTCTTTTCAATGCTTGCTTGGTTTTTCATGAGTTGTGGTAAATTACCCACTTATATTTTCGTTCTCCCCAACTATCTTCTACTTCCTTCAAAAGTGAATGTTCTTTACTTTTTACGGCACAAGAACAATAATAAATTTTTTTTTCAGGTTTTAAAGAAAAAAGATTTTTGAAGTCTCGCTTTATTTCAAGTCGAGATTCAACTGTTTAAGCTCAAAAGGGGTTCACGAGTACTCTCTCAACTCACGGGTAAGTTTGCATCTGGAACTGGTTATGCTCGAAAGAAACAAGTGCCTTGATCATTTCAACTAACTTCCACAAATTCATAATAATAAAAGACAGAACATGAATTAAATGAATCAACACGGTTTATCAGAATCCAGCATTTAAGTACATAATGGAAGTCTCCTCACAATTTGTGGTTCTAAAACCTAAGTGACTCATTCATTCAATTATGTTGCAAAAAGAAAATATTTTATCACAAAAAGAACAAAGTTCCACATGCATTCTAGAATTCTAACCGAAGGTAACCATGTACCTTAGCTTTAATCGCTTGTTAATTTTTTTTATCATTGCCATCCAAACTCGGATGCACCTTCATTGGATACTTCTTTCAGAGAGCAACCAATCTAGAAGGTTTTGACAACAACATATCCACAAAAATTATTAAAAACAAAATTAAATGAAAAACTATTAATCATAACTGAAATTAAAAACAAAATTAAATGAAAAATGATAAAGTACAAAAATCTATGAAGTTACTGAGAACATAGTTACATCAACAGGAAGTAGAGAAATTGGATCACCCTCTCCATAAAGAAGTTAAAAACCAAGATGGTAAAACAGCTTGGCAAGTGTTAAAGCAAGAGCATAAACCATTGCTTGAAGAAGGGAAGAATTGGATAAAGGATACATCAAACTCTTGTATGTTAGTAGCAACTCTTATTGCGACAATCGCTTTCGCGGCTGCAATAACTGTACCTGGAGGTAACAACCAGGACAAAGGAATACCAATATTCTTGAAAGATAACACATTCATGGTATTTGTTGTTTCAGATGCATTAGCCTTGTTTTCTTCAATGGCTTCTCTTCTGGTGTTTTTAGCAATCCTAAATGCACGATTCGCGGAAGAATATTTTTTCGTGGCGTTACCGGAGAGATTAATATTAGGTTTGGCTTCTTTGTTCATTGCTGTAGTGACTACAATGGTAGCATTTGGTGCAGCTTTGTCTATGCTGGTGAAGGAGAGAGTTAAATGGGCTCCAATTCCTATTGCTCTTTTGGCTTGTGTGCCAATTGCTCTATTTACAAAGCTTCAACTTTCTTTGTTCATAGAAATGATGAAATCAACTTATGGATCTCAATTCTCATATATAAAAAAATGAAGGTTGATATTGATTATGATAGGATTAGTTAATATCTCTTAGGATTATGTTAGGACTACATTAATATTTGTCTAAACCTTTTGATTATTGAGGGAGAAATATTCATATTCATGTTGTAAACCTGATTCCAACCTTTTTTTTAGCATAGTGAAATTATTACTTGGAGAAACCTTTTATCCCCTCATGCTTGATTAACAAATTGTTGTTCTGCTTTGGCTTTATTAGATATGTAAATATAGAAAGATTATTATTAGTATTGATTGCAAATGATTATTAGAATCATAACTACATAATTGTATTGTGTATATAAATGACTAACAGATAAATGAAAAGGTACGGCCTAAACTCTCTTACATGGTATCAGCTTGGTTTGTTCCCAAATCCTAAAACCAGCCGTCAACCTTCTTTCTTCCTATCTTTCATTTTTTTTCTCTTTAACCACCCCAAAACAGCCATGACTACCACTACTAATTCCTCCAACAACAACTCTTCTTCACACTCCACCGGTCATACCGACCCTCCTCCTCCACCTCTCACTCCTATGACGACTCACCCTGCTTTCATTGTCCTAAATATTACTGTTGCACCTTAAAATTTGCTCAACCTTTTTCACTTGGTTTATGTTTCAATTGCATTAGCATTTGCATATAAAGTCATGTACATAGTCTAATCATCTGCATAGCATAGCATAGCAAGTCATCCAACAAGGGACCAAGTAATATTCTCATCTCTATGAGCCTATCAAGATGTTATTGTTCAAATTTAAGCATACCCAAGTCATCAGAAAGAATTTGAAATCTAAGAAGTCAGTGGATCAAGCAGTGAATCTATCTCCTATCTGAGGATATCTGAGGATCATCAAAGAAGTGGTGAGCTGTGAATTGAGCATGGAGAGTATATAGACATCATGGAAGACATGTAGATCCATTTTGAAAGTGATACAAGTCATTGATGTGATCACAAGAGTTGCAGTTGAAGACAGTCAACTAGGGTTTCATCTGGGTCAACCCTGGGTCAACCCCAGGTCAAATGATTGATTGAAAGGCATTAAGGTCTATTGGATAGATGTGGGGTTCATCATTTAACATGTAAATAAGGATATGGTGATGTGCCAAGAAGAAATCAAGAGAAATCAAGGAGAAGAGGAGTTTCTAAATTAGGGTTTCTGTGTAAAATCCCCTGATTTAGGTCAAACTTCCAAGCAAGATAAGTCAAAATGTAAGCTTCAAATGGATCCTTGGTCAACATGAAACTTGTAGAGGATCTCAAGACCTTTAATTTGAGTGGTGGAAGACATCAAGGAGATTTATAGAACTCAAGTTATGGTCCTTGCAAGTTACAGGCAACTTTTACCCCCCCCCCCAGGAGATTTCAAATGAATTTCTGGTCAACATAAGAGTTGTTCCTCATTGTCTTAGATTTCTAGAAAGGTATGGTATGCCTTCATATGATTTGTGGAACTCTACTTATGGTCTTGGCAAGCAAAGGGTATTTTGGTCATTTGAGAATTACAGGTCATTTCAAGCCTATGCCCAAAACTCATACAAGGAAGCTTCAAATGAAAAACTTCACAACATCAAACTTGATCCAAATGACATTTTGAGTCTAGAAAAGTGGTCATGAAAGATTTGAAAGGCTCATAGCTCAAGGTTTCAAATTTGGTGAATTTAATGAATAAAAAGTGACCTAAATTTGAGATTTTTCATAATTTGGCCAAATGGGGTGAAATTATAGGTCATTTTGATTGGAAAAAATGTTTTAAGAACATTGGAAAAAGTGGATTTTTGAGTTTGGTTCAAGATTTGAAAGTTATGCTTGGTTACTTATGTATGAAGTAACATAATCCAAAATTCAAGGAAAGTGTGCATGGGAAGTTTCTACAAAGTTCTAGAGGTTTCTAATGTCATCTATATATTGCATTGAGAGTTTTCATTCAAGGGTTGGTGAATCATTGTGATCAAAATACCAAGATATACCTCATTCTTCCATTTTGCAAAACCTCTTCAAACTCCATCAAATCTTCATCAATTCCCAAAGTTCTTGATCCTATCATCATCAACATCTTTCATAGATCACATTTCCATCTAGATTTGGCTCAATTGAGGTAGAACTCGTGCTATCCAACTTCATTATCCAAGGAGCAAGAACATTGTGATTGCAAGATTCAAGGCATTGGAGCAAGATCTACTGCATACAGAACCAAGAAGCAAGTATATTGAGCAAGTTCAGAGCATTGTAAGCATTGGATCCAGAGAATTCTACAACTGTTTTCATCATTTACACCAGGTTGGTTTTCTCATCGAATTGTTTAGATTAGTTAGCATGTTAGAGAATTTTAGGGTTAGAACTGTTAGGTTAGGTTAGATGATGGAATTCAGAAAGTTTGAGAAGGTTTCATGGAGGTTACCAATGGTGCACTAAATCTGTTGTGGCTTAGAACTCTTAGATTAAAGCATGATAATCCTAGATGAATAGCTCAGAATGATCAGTGTAATGTGTAGATCGTGTTAGGGTAATAATTAGATGGAATCCTCATGTTTGATCTCAGTGCAAAGTGATGGAGGCAAGATGTTCTAGCTATCGGGTTTGGACCTAGAAGGAGTTTTAGAGAACGATATTGCCATGGCTGTGTAGAGGGAAGAGAATGGATCGTTTTTGGTTCTTACACCGTGTGATTTCATTGAGAGTTGAGGGAGAACAGAGGTGTTGAAAATTCGTGCATGGAGAGGTTATTTCTGAACCTAGGGTTTCTAGAGGTAGACGATGATGCATGGCCGTAGGATCGTGAGGTGGACTTTGACTTGCAATCTGATCTAATGGCCACGATTCAAAGATAAAACGGAGGGAAATGGCAATAGTGAAATGCAGCGTTCAATTAAAATCTGACCCTGGGCTCAAGCAACCATTACTAATCCCACCCCCTCAACTCAGGCCCAATGTGTTTTCAACTAGATTTTCTGCTAATTGCACCGTTCTCATGTTTTTTCTTTTTTATTTTTCTGAGCGTGCACTGGGCCCAGACGCGCATTGCTAGGCGCGCCCCCCAGTCTGGGCCCATCCTATTATTTTAACTAGAATTAATTGCTTGCTGCACCCCTCAGCCAATTTGATCCATCTTAATTTCTTTCAATTTTTTTAATTCTTTGAAAAATCATAAATAATTGAAAAATGCTTATTTTTTAGTGGTTGTTTTTGCATTAGGTTTATATTTCAGTTAAGAAAATTAAGAAATAATAAAATTCCAACTTTATTTTGTTTTAGCATTTTTAGAATATTTTTCTTTTAAATAGTCTTTTAAGTGGTTTAATTTGATGCATGATATTGTTGATTTTAGTTTAATTAGATGCTTTTACATTTTTGATCCATTCTTTTTAGGGTGATTAGCTTAGAGCTTTAGCTTGTATATAAAATTTAATTCATAATTTTAGGATCAATTTTTAGAGGATTTGATTAGGTGAGATTAGAGTGGTTAAAACTAGGGTTTAGGAGATAACATAAGTGTGATAAATCCTTTCTTTTAGGAGTTGCAGTTTGAATCTTTGGGGTATGGGACTATAAGGGTTATGGGTAGATAATATATCCCTTAGAAATTACTAGGTTTCCCCTATTCTACTATTACTATCAGTTTACTGCTTGTATTTGCTTGACTGTGTGGTGTGCCCTCTTTAGGGTTATGTTTGACTGTGTGGGGTATTGGGTTTGCTTGGGGATTGGGAGAACTGAAGACTTTGATGATGAAGGCCATTGGAGATCAAGAGAATGAATTCCAACTTCCAGAGTTGATGTGGAGCATCTGGCTGGCAGCTGTTGAAGGCTATAGGAGTTAGGAGCTAGGCAGAGCTCTAGAGTAGAGAATTTGATTCACAAACATGGAAGGCTTTGTCTGCCTCCATCCTTTATCTATGATTCAAAGTCTCTTTTAAATATCCACCTCCTTCCTTTGGAAGGATTAGTGAATGTATTTTAAAGATATAACTTTTGAGAGAAAACTGTCAGTATCATGTTAACAGTCAGTGAGCCACCCTTGGTAGGCAATAGACTGTTTAATATGCATTTCATCTTGTTGACTGATATTCATCTTGGAGATTGAGACTTGAAGAAAAGCCATTGCAGATTGAAGACTGATGATAAAGACCTTGTTTGAAGGCTTGAAGATGAAGACTGAGGCTTGCCTGAAGTTGGTAGATGTTTGGAGATGACTTGAAGACAGATGTTGATGCAGAGCTGCTGTTGCTGTTTCTTTTTCTGCTGTTATTCATTTCTGATGTATTGATTGGTTTTCCCTGACTGTATTGTTTGCTGTTTAACCTGTTAGGTTGAAAGTGAATGTTGTTCACTTTTGCCTGTTGTTTTCTAGGTTCAAGGTTGAGTGGGACTCCCTTGCCTCGCTTGTATTGCTGCATCCATGCATTTTACTGCTTTATTGTATATATGCTATTGTTCTTGTTTCCGTCTATTCCCTTAGGATCTCTGTTTCTCTCTATGCAAGAGAGGAGCATGATAGACACTAGGTTTTAACCCATGCATGATAACATTAGGTTAGTGTGATTCCCTTTTTAACCGTAGGTTAGAGTTCTGTCTCTTCTTTCTCAAAACAAACAGAAAAACACAATAAATATTTCAAACACAATAAAAGACACTTCTTCCGTAAAAGAATGTGAACTCATCAAAACGTCATTTTTGTCCGCTTGGACTGTTAAGCAGGAAAACCCTTTTTCAGAAGGAATAAAAACAATCAAGACAAACTTGTGTCGTACGTGGCCCGAACTACGTTTGCTCTGATCTTTCATGCTGTATGAAAGTACGTAGGCATAGGATGCGATATCCTAGCGAGCAACCTTCCCCTCCTTTTCCGTAGGTAGGCGAACTACGTTGACTCTGATTTCTCGTTCCAGACGGGAATACGTAGGCATAAAGTGCGATACTTTGCCGAGTCATTTTATTTTCTTTTTAACCCTTAACCATGTAGAGTAGATAGAATAACAATCAATCCGTACTAG